AAATGTGTGGTGCTTTAATGACAAGTACACATGATGCAATAAGGAGAGAGTTCTTTTATCGTTATGAATGTCCCTTCATTGTTAGACACAAGCATTTCTTCATGAGGACTTCAGTTTCGCCTGCTCATATGTCTGTCCCAGGCCCTCGCACAGGGCTGATGATAGTCTCTCTATTGAAAAACCTTTCATGGAAAATTGATATAGTGGTAGAGATCCAAATGGTTTTGATGTATTTTCTTGTGTGTTTCTCTTTTCAAATGTTTAGCTGTTTGGATTTAAAATTTGATTTGTCTTGTCTTTGAGGGACTGAAGAGATGCTAATGACTTGGGCAAAATATAAAATCATAGTAAAACATTTAAGAAAACAAATCCAGATTAAAAAAGAAATAAATTGTGCCACATGAAGAAGGTTGTAAAATGGCTAATTATAGAAACCTGCAATGTTGGTATTGCCAGTAAAACAGTCTCTTTTGTGTTTTTGGAACAAGGTAACTTCAATCCCTTAGTATTTGCCCCATCAGCTTGCTTCAACTTGTAAATTATTTATATAATTTTCAGTCTTTAAAGTTAGTTTGCAAATGGCTTTGCTTACATTGTTTCCATCTCTGTGCTGTAATGTGTATTGATGTTGCTGTTATTAATAACTGTTAATAAATTCCTATAAGCATTGTTGTTCAGGCAGAGTAGGAAAAGGACTCTCTTAAATTTATGTCATCCCATATAGTTAATTTTTTTGATCATGTGAGGAGAAAAAGAATTGTAAAGCAAGAAAACAAAAGATACAAATACTCCGCTGCCTGTCACACACCCCCATCCTCTGCAATGTTCTCTGGACAAAGTCCAGTGTAAAAAGTACCCATGTGGTAACTGCATGTCAGATGGTTTGTGTCAGAATGTTCTGATTCTGGTAAGGAAAACTTAAAATTTAGAGCATAAATATACTTATTTTGATTCTGGAATCACAGTCTGCACTATAACCACCTCCTTAGCAGCAACAACAAAGTACCAATTAAATGCATGCAATGAATATAAACACTATAGCTTTCAGCTGCACTGAAGATGAAGAAACTCATGATTTGATTCTCATGACCCCATTTTCAGAGTGCCAGACCTCAGACTCAGTCAGACTGTATTTCTTACATCTGGATTCTGCACATGCATAGAAACAGATTGATTTATTTCCTCTACAAGAAGCATCTGTTCCTCTACAGGGATATTGATTTCCCAAGAAATGAAGGCTAAGGGCATGCTCCATGATGATATTTTCTTTTTGTATTGTTTGGAGGAGCCCTCTGTACTTTAAGCAAAAACTACTTATCTGCTACAAATAAATATTGTCTAGTGCCTAGAAGGAACAGAGTCTGATTCAGTCCAGCGTCTCTATTTGGACTCAGACTGCTGTAGGGCTCCATAACAGATCCAGGATATTTGAGAATGACAGGAGTGTGATATCATATAGCTGGTAGGCCGTTGTGCATATTTTTATGCAATAAAGTATCTTTCTTCTTTTTTCTTTTGTTCTTGTAGTTCAAGTAATGCCTTCTGCAAGGATACCAAAATCCCATAGTTCCGCTGTATTTTTGAATAGGTGATTAATAACAAAACTACAATAAGCAGTTAAAGAGTGAAAATACAAAGAATCCTTTCATGGAACAACGTTCTTATGTTATACTTATATTGCAATATTTCAATTAGGCTAAGCAGTTTGCAGTGTGACTTAGAGGATGAGCTAAATGTTCTAAGGTTGAAACTAAGGTGATCTTAAAGGTCCCTTCCAACCCTAATGATTCTATGAATCTATGTAGTTGTCAAAGAATGGCACTCTTCAGTTTCCATTCTCACATGGATTATCCATTCTGAGATGCAAAAAAGTTTTTGCAGATAAAAAAGCTGCTACATACTCTGTAGAAGAGTCAGCCCCTAGAAACAAGAATTCTGAATCTGATGGCGTATTTCTTTAACCAGCATGAGGATTTATTGGGTATGTTTTCTGATACAGGATAGACAGTCTGATAATCCTTAGCCAACAAACTGGCTGTGGCACTATGATTTTGCTGATGTGAACTGCATACAGATTTCTTAAACTAAATTGATCTCCCTTTCTGTGTCCTAGTATTTGTTTCACAGAGATGAAAAAGGTCACATTTGCCTTTGCCAGCTATATCATTCACTTTGTTAGGCACCTAACGATAGTTCATGGTATGATCAGTACAAACTAGAAATGGAAAAAGTAGTCAAAAGTATGAACAATCTAAATATACCTCCTAATGAATATTCAAATTGCATTGGGTTAAACCACTCCCAATTGTTGCTCCTTCACATTAATATTTTGCCTGTGGGTAGTCCCTGAGGCTTTCTGGGGCTCATTTTCTCAGAGTATCTGACTGCGGTTGCACCCTGGGTTGGTAAGAGTTTTGTAGTCCCTTCATATCTTGAGCTGATTAGAAACAGAAATATGTCATTAACGTTTTTCTTGGGCACATTCCTCTTTATATTATAGAGCTATGGAGTAAGAAAGGAAATGGGAGGTGTTATAACCTTTGGATTTTCTGCCACAACTAAGAGCAGCCTGGCTTTGTGCAGCAGATTCTTCTGAGCAATTGTTTTCTACTCTGATGAGATGTCAGGCAGGTGGTCTCGTAGGGACCAAACCTCCCAATTCTTCCTGAAACTGTTGAGCAAATGTAACTCTGTTGCTGCTTGAGGAATTGTTCTAGTGGGCATGTTGCACAGTCCCTCTTGTCCACTGGTTTGGGGTTGGGTTTTCTGTTTGTTTGTTGTTTGGGTTTGAGGTGTTGGTTTTTTTACTTAATTCAGTCCAAGGAGAAAGACAAAAAGTAATAATCTGGAGGGAGAGCTGTTCTACAGTGCTCTAAGGAAAATTGGAATATTCTGTAGAAAACATGAGGGTCAATGGTTCAGGAGGGCTTATCAACTTTTTAGCAGTAGGAAAATACATAGGATTGGATCTGTGTTTCAGAAAGTATTTTAAAACACAGAAAATCTTATTCCAGGAAGTGCTCTTTTCTTCTTCATAGCAACTCCCTAGAAATTTAAAAGCCTATAAAATCCTCCATTACTCTGAAAATTTAGAAAAGAGAGAAGACTAGTGCTTCTAAATACTGCATTGGTAATTAGACTTTGGATGGCATAGCTACTACTGATTATTGACTTCTCTGTTCTTCATATACTCTAAGTGCTTAAAGGATAACAGAAAATGTCACTGCTTTCCCTGAAGGTAATTGGAAAATCTAATTTCTCTTAAGATCTTTCAGTGAAGCTAAGGACAATAAATTAGGAAGTATATTTTCCTACTCCTCATGGACTCCTGTGTGGACTCCAGCTACTTGCAAAGCAGCTGTCAGTGAGAGCAGTATTTTAAGCTGAGCAGTGTGTGTGCAGAAAAAAAAAAAAAAGGCAATTGCAGATATTAAGGAAAATTTATTGTCTTCAATAAATTGAAGTTCATCAGGGACTTAAACAATATGACAAAGAGGGGATGGGTTTAAACTTAAACAGGGGAAGTTCAGGTTAGATATAAAGAAGAAGTTCTTTACTGTGAGGGTGGTGAGGAATGGATTGCCCAAAGAAATGGTAAATGCTCCATTGAACACATGCAGTGTTCAAGGCCAGGTTGGACAGAGCCTTGGGTGACATGGTCTAGAGTGAGGTGTCCCTGCCCATGCCTGGGGGGGGGTCGGGACAAGATGATCTTAAGGTCCTTTCCAACCCTAACTAGTCTATGATTCTATGAAAAATAGATACATGATTTTAAGGGCAGTTTTGCACTGATGCTTTCTACATTTTGTGCTATGTATGCATATATTATTTTTCAATATACAATTTAATAACTGTGGCCATCTACACAGAGAAGTGTGCTCATAATTTGTATGACATTGCTATAGTTTTAGCAGAACTACATTCTATTACTTATTTAAGAAGAAATACAGCAATTAGTGCTTAGTTAATTATTTAAATATTGGCAGGCATATACTATATGTGGGGGACAGGTGAAAGAAAACAAATAAGGGAATTCTAACATGACAAAACATCTTTTAACAGATATTTGGAAGGATATTAAAGCTAGAATAAAAAGGGTAAGGGATTACAGTTTTCTGCAATGCTGATGTTTGGTGCAGAAGAGCCTTGTACTATATTTGCATCTGTGAGTGCAGCTAGTGACTTCAAAGTGCCATGTGATGAGGAATGAAAGTCGGAGAACAAGGAATGAAAAGCTCTGGCACCATTGTGCTACTTTTCCAGAGGCAGAAGTTATGGAGAGCTAAGTAAAGAGGGGGAACACTTGGGCAGTCCATGGTAGCTGGCTGAGAAGAAAATCTGAGATGTGTTACTCCTGCTGTGTGAGGAGCCTAAAGAAGGTTGCCTGTGAGATTCCCCCCAAACAGAGAAGGACTCTGAACCCCATCTAGCAAAAATTCAGGTTAATTATGAGCGTAGAGGGGAAGCAACCCCTCCATCCCTGCTCTTGTCTGTATTTCTATCCTGATAGGTTTACACGTTTATATAGCACATGTTATGTAGATAGATTGGTATTTCATCATTGAGTTCTGTTAAAGTTCCCTGGTGAGTGCTGTCTGGCTCCGGTGCTGTGCTACCCTTTACGTGGTCTGTGTGTACTCTCTTCTTTAGGATTCCCAAGTCAGGACCTCTGCAGTTTCTTCCTCACGGAATTGATTCAAAGAATCCATTTAGCTTCTCTGCAATAATCTCCTCCTTTCTCAGTACTATCTCTATAACATGAATATCAATTGGCATTATAGACACTTTAGCAGGCTCTTTCTTTCTGAGGTGTTTGAAGAAGGATTTAAAGCTAGCTTTGATCTCTGTATCAGAATTTGTTCCTCAAATTCTGTTTTTTGTCCTTCTTAACTACATTTTTAAATTTAATCTGCTGAAGTTTAAGATCCTTTGTTTAGTTTTCCTTTGGTTATAAATTTTAGTATTTTAAGGTTATCTTCTTATTTCTATCCCAAGAATAGGATTCTAGCTTTTGAGTGGAAATGTGTCTGGGTGTATTACTGTGAACCTTCCCCCATTAAATGAAGATTCAGGACTTCAAAATAAAACATCTCTAAAAGCATAAGACCACCTCTTTTCTTTGATAAATATGTGAAAATTCATGTGAACTGGTGGTCTGTCTATACAAATAAAGTGGGAGAGGGAAGAATATCGCTTCAACTCAAGCTTTTGGCTCAAAAGGTATTCTATAGGAAATACTTTCACAAACGTTGCAGTGCACTGGATTAGTAGTCTGAGTTATGCGAGTTGCTGCAGGAGACAGAAAAATTCAGTGAATGGCCCTTTAAGACTGCAGAAACAGCAGACAGACCTTACAGATATAGCTATGCTGTTTTTATCATGTTAGAGACAGTTTGTTGAACAGTGGATACATTTCAACATATTCACAGTAGGATACTGCTTCTTATCTGTAGAGTTTGGGGTTCAAGTGCTCTAAGCATTTTGTAAAATAATACTGAACTAGATGGTATTGATATGAATAATGCATGTTATATTGGAGGCAAAGCAAATTTCCTGGAGTTTATGGGACTTACATTAATAATACTGATCTACTTGTACAAGAATAGGGAATTCTCTTTCCTGAAGCTGAAAAATCTGAGTTTCCATGCACTCAATGCTAGGAAATACACTGGTAAGCTGTGCACAGGGGAAAGATTTGTACTGCTGTCAACTAGTCATAGTTGTGTCTGAAGACCAGGGTTACTTGATGTCGTCAAAGTGCATTGCAGTTCCGAGTACCTGTTTTTCTCAGTCTCCCTAAATGGTAAAAGACAAAAGCACCTTGAAAAAGTCATGAAACCATCATAGCTTAGATGGATAGAAAAAAAAAAAAAAAGAAGTTCTAACAGGTACAAAACTACCTTAGTTCTTAAGTCCTAGCTTCCGGTTAAACTCCACGCTTGTCATATCGGCAGGATTAAACACCATGGCCTTTTGAAACTATGTTGATCTTTGCATTTTAAGTTGAGAGGGTTTTAATAAGTCCTTTGTAAATGCTTAAAGTTCATGAAAAAAATATATGAAATGATGTGAATATTGAGCAGAGATGTCATGAGAAAGACCTGTGAAGTACATTGGGTTTGCTATTGTCTAATTATAGAGTACAATACTTAAAAGAGGATTTTTATGGGAACATTAAGCACTTACGGGAATAGAGAAGAAAACCTGAAAAATCAGGGAATGCAATTGATTTTTAATTTAACCTTTTCTATAAGTAGGTGAATTGAAGAAATGCTTACAGGTAGTCTGAAGTTCAAGCTTTGTACTATGAAGTAAATACATTTATTTATTTGATTACTTCAGTACCTGAAATTATAAAACATGCTTGGTAGAGAAATCAGCAGATAAACTATTTTCTTAGATTTTAAGTGAGATCAGTAGATAAATATGTGGAATGAAAAAGATAGAATTTCATAGTAACAATGAAAAAAATCTATTATTTCTCAAGTGTTATTCTTTGTATTGTATATACTCATGCACATTTGTACGAATGAGGGAGACTCACTGGCAAACCTTTGGTAGCAGTTCACTAGAGATTGTAAGGGACACTTTTTGTTCTGGCCGCTTGGGACTGGATGTCTACGATAAAGGAACACAGAGAGAGCACCTTATTAGTGTGATAATTTTCAAGGACCTAAATGGAATGTGTTAGTGTGTTTTAATATGCTTAAGCATTATAAGGGAGCTTTCCTGTGTCAGTGCTGTAACCTTGTGTGAGTGAGCAAAGGCTGCCCAGTGGATCCTGTGTGCCTTTCAGCACTTATCAGCACAGAACCAAAGTACATTTGTGGATCGTGTGTTGGAAATGTCTTTAACTTTTTAGCTAAGTATCTAGGAAAAGCAACTTTCAGCTGGAGAGCTGGAGCTAAAGAGGACTGAGGATGAGAGATTTGCCAGATGGGAGAACTGGGGTAAAAGAACAGCAAGGAAACAACTATGAAGCAACTGTGATGTTGGAGAAATGAGCCATGCACAACGGAAGGCATAGAAGAAAGCAAGAAAATGAGGGAAGGCAGTATTATGCATGTAAAAGGGAAATCATAGAGAACATAACAGTGAATAAAAGATTATGTAACAGGGGAGGCTGACATATGAAAGTGAAGGTTGAATTTGGTTTACTGGCTATTTGAAATAATGGAAATTTTTCTTTTCAGTGTACTTTGGTGGGTTTTTTTCCCCCCCTTGGTTTCATTTTTTTGGGGGGGGTGGTGGGTTGTTTTGGGAGGGGGAGAGGTGTTCCACAACTTAAAGGCTAGGGCAGAGCCGAGATTTCTGTGGGGTCTTACCATCTCGAAGAGCAGCAGTACATGGCTCTTCATTGCTCCAGGAGGAATCCATGCAATGATTCAGTACACCTGGAAAAAATTACAAGTGAATCATGATGTAGGACAACAGTCAGTGTTTTTTACAGTCTCAGGTTTTGTCATTATGGAATATAATTTTCTGCCTGTTGGACTGCCATGTGGCATTTCCTTTCATCCACTTGTGGGAAAATATTCAAAGATTCACGATTGTGCCTTAAACCTAAATGTTCATTGAGGCAGGTATTGGTAACAAAAGCTAAATATGTTTGAACATAAGAGGGACTGAAACTCCAACATGATCTAACAGGCTGCCTGTGCAGAGGTGGATACTGGAAGCCTGACCCTGTGACAGCCTTTAGCATGGAGCTGCGGACTGCAGGAATGCAGCTGCTGAGGAACCCAGCAAGCAAGCTAAAAGAAGCAAGGCAGGATTCTTCTGATTTAATTTTTTCTGAGGAACCTCATCAGAATCAGGCTGTCTTCGTAAAATATTGAAATGGAAAACACCAGTAAAAGCATACTGCCAAATTTCCCAACTGACTCTAAAAAACAGAATTATACATCTGGTAATGTTGTGATATTTTGGTAACATGAGCTTAAGGAATATAAATGTCCAACATTTTATACAGTAGAGCCAAGGCTGTTTCTTTGAATTCTATGCAAAGGATTCCCCTTCCCCCTCCCCCCCCCATGCATCAGACTGTAACATAGAAGAAAGTGTGTCCCTTTTCCTCAAAATCCAGACCTGCACTATCTTCAGGTGGTACTAGCTTGGCTAGGATAAATTCATTCTGGTGCCCTAGATACTGAGGCTTAAAATATTTAGGTGCACTAATAATACCAATAACTAGAGCCCATAAATACAGGTTTATCTGTTTTATGAATACATGCATACTAGAAATAAAGCTAGATATTTAGATCTGTTAGACATAGTTAGATATAGATCTATAGCATTGTGGGAACTTCTTTGATCTAAATGAGAATATTAAAAACTACAGTAAATCTTTTAACTCTACCTCTGCTTGTTTTAGAAAACTACCATTAAACACAGAAAAAGCAAGAAGGAGAAACCTTTTGGACATGCATTTCTTTGCAGAATTTGATACACTAAGGCTAAACTGTGTTGTATAAAAAATTTATAATTCATCAGGCTCACCTTCATTCCAACATCCTTACAAACTTGTATCATTTAAGTGTAAAGCAATCCTTCTAGGTACTAAGCACATAAAATCCAATTGTGAACACTTACCATAAAACACATGATACATGAATGCCACAGGCAAGGGAGCACCCATTAGGCAAACTGCTTTCCAGATGGTGCAGTCTCTGATTCTGGATAATTGCTTGAAATGATACAGTAGGGAACAGGGCGAAAAAGAAAGTGGAAATCTTGCTGCAGTCTAGATATATTAGTTAAAAAACTAAGGACACAAATCATTAGCAGTTTGTTTGCACTTTTATTTCAGGATGCTAGTATTTGAGACAATTCATGATACCAAAACACTAGTGGCAAATACGTGGTATAACCAAGTTCTTTCACAACTGTGTTTAAAAGGAGAAACTCAGGAGCAATTACACAGAACTTTCAGATTTCCTGGATGTGAAAGAAGCATTATGTATCTCTAATGTGTTTCATCATCATAACATGATTATGAGACTATAAACACTTGCATCTGCTTGTGGTTTAGTTCTGTGAGAGAGACTCTTGTTCTACTCCTTGATCAGTGGGAGTCGTTCCGTGAAACTGTCTATAGGTGTGGATTTGAAAAGTCCCCTGATGGAGTAAGTGTACTGTAGAGTTTATTTGCTCTGACAGTGAGGCACATCAAGTGTGAATGTGCATTGTGAAATCTGTGGGGTTTTGCATGAAAATTCTTAACAGGTTTTGGTTACTTAACAAAAACCAAACCGAAATGAAAAAATGGTTAGAACTGATTGTAGAAGCAAGCAAAAGGGAGAAACCCACCAGACAAGAAACAATCCTTATCTGCTTATATTGATTATATGCTTTAGTGGACAAAGAAACAAACTTATTTCCCCCCCCTTTTATTCAGGTTCTGTTGTGTAGGAATGGCAGTTGTAGAAGCTATTCAGTTCTATGAGGAGCCACTGCATGTAGGCTGGCTCTGTGAGCCCTTTCTGTTTGAAATGTGCTGAACTTTGGCTAAGGAGAGGTCCAAGGACAAGCTAAATTTCTGCTTCTGCAGGGATATCCTGCTCATGTCCCAGTAAAGGGGTTTAATATCTTTACATTTTATGGAGGTAGCTGCACTACTGTTCTTTCCATTGGAAAAGGGAAGAGATGAGAGTTTTTTGTCTCCTCTCAATGCATGGAAGGCAGCAAGGGGTGGTCAACAAGCCATGTGCTCATTTCCCCCTGCCTTTTTTCATTTAGGTTTCATTTTGGTGAGAAGCAGATGGAATATGATTTTTATCATATCCATGTTCATTGTAATATGGATGTTCCTGTAAGCAAAAACCAATGGGCCAAACTGTTCATAGGCAAAGTGCCATGGAAATGTTCTATAAGAACATGATACAATTGATATATAGAAAAGCGCTTGTGACTGATATCCAGGGTACAGACATTTGCTAGCATTTGCAGAGGGAGAATGCCATCCAAATTGGGAGCAAAGCAGATAGGGATAAAAGGCACATCATGCTACATAGAAGTGCTTGGCACATGAACTGCTACTAAAGTCAGTGATCTAAAGCTAGTCTCTCCTTCACACATACACTATACAATACAGAAGACTTCAGTTTAACTGCATGATGAACTGCATTTTTTGTCAGCTCTGAATCATACACCAGCTGTTTTGTTTGATGCATTTTAGTCTCATATGTGTT